CGGCGGGGCGGATGCGCGCACGGCGCCTCTCCACCAACCCGCTCCCCGGCAGGTCCCTCGCTCGCGCTGCATCCCTCGCCGGCGCTCCCTCGCTCCCCCCCCCCTTTGATTGACAGGCAAGATGTCGGTGTGGAGCGAGGCAGGAGCGAATGCAGCAGCCGTCACCCCCGGAGCCCGGCGGCGGCAGCAGCAGCCACAGCAGCAGCAGCAGCAGCGCGAGGAGACAGCCGCCCGCCGCAGTCGCCGCCGCAGCCGCGGGAGCAATGCAGACAGCATCTTGAGAACGCGCTAAAGCACCCCAAACAGTGGACAATGCCGTGTCACTGCAACTGGGAGGGGGGTAAAGCAGATTTTTTTTGACATAAAAGCCAGCCAGCCAAAAATACATAATTTTGTCCTTCACGGAGCCGGTGTGTAAAGAGTGAGCGCTATTTTCCTTCTCCTCCGCCTCTCCCTCCTCCTCTTTCCCTCCCCCTCCTCCTCCTTTCCCTCCTCCTCCTCCCTAAGAGTACAGACAGCATCACATCACCTGGTTTGCTTCTGAGAAACAGCATCTCTCCTTTCCAGGACCAGAGACTCAGAGAGGAGACATTCTAATGGATCTGCTTGATACCCCAAAATAAAATAATAAATTTTGGCTTTTGCCCCCTCCTCCCACCCCACCCCCTCAGCCCTGTGTGAGATGTTGGGTTCCTTCTTCACAAGACACTGTTGAGAAGTCGCAGTGGTCGGAGAGGCATAGGGGGTAGACTACCTCTACTCACCCCCCCCCCTTTTTTCTCTCTCTGGGAGGAGGAGGAGGGAAGGGGGCTTGCAGAGCAAGCGATGGATGAGGAAAACATGACGAAAAGCGAGGAGCAGCAGCCTCTGAGTTTGCAAAAAGCCTTACAGCAGTGCGAATTGGTCCAAAACATGATAGACCTGAGCATCTCCAACCTGGAAGGGCTTAGGACCAAATGTGCTACTTCCAACGACCTCACACAAAAAGAAATCCGGACCTTGGAGGTAGGTGTTCCATCGGACCAAAGCAATCCACCTCCCCTCCCCTTCCCCCCCCACCCCTTCCAGGGCTTCTGTTTGCTGGGGGGTGGGGAGGGGTTCGAGGGTTGCACGGTGTGATTGTTTGCTATGTATCTTCTTGCAAAACCGCCCCGGAGGTCCCTGTCCTGCACTGGTGTTGTCTGTGCTTGGCTGGGAGGTGCTGGTGGTAGTAGTAATTGTTATTCTCTATTTATTATTATTCTGGCGGCTCTTAGTACCATTTGCTTCCCCTCTGAGAAGGGAGTTCTCTGGTCCCCCCCCCCCCCTTGTGGATTTGTTTATATGCCACGGGGTCTTGTGTGCTGGGTAAGACATTAAGGCGCTGCAGAGAGCCCACGTGACCTTGCGCATTCTGCAGGTGGTCAAAAGGTGGTATTTGCTTGCAGAATGGAGCTGCCTATAAATATAGACCTCTTCTCTTGGCCTCCTTCCCGGCACCCCTCCCCCTTTGCTCCTTGGATTTTTTTTTTTTTTTCAGTGATATACATGTCAGGAGGCAAGATGCATGAAAAAACAATCCCATGGAACTACCTCTTTCCAACCCAATCGTTTTGATGCAGGGAGCTGATGCAGGCCTAAAACATGTAAAAAGATTTTTTTCAAAATATGCCTGGATCAGCACACACAGGTGGTGTGAGGAATACTCTCAGATCTGGACTGTGAGGAAAGGGGTCTGGAGGAGGAGTTATCTTTGGTGTGTTGTAATAGTCTCTCCTGCAGAACTTGAGGGGGAGTTTGAAGCAGTTTTGTAGGGGGGTGGGATGGATGCAAAGTTACGCTCAAAGAAGATGGCAGAAATGGTTTCTTCTGAAGGCCATCTGGGCATGGGAGGAAGGGTCCAGGAGCCCCGGGAAGTGCATGCATCCTGAAGGGCTCTACTCTTCTCCCTCCTGCAGGGGGGTGCCCCCCCAGCCCCCCCCGTGGGTTCCCCCCACCCTGCTCACTGGGCTTGATTCAATTCGGAAACTCCCATGAGCTGGCGTTTGCAGAGCATGATGGCAGTGGAGCTGGGAGGCAGTAAAGGGGGTGCTTCTGTGAGGGAGCAGGCATATGTGGGGTGGGGGCATGGGAGAGGTGACGTTCTCCAGCCCATGAGCATGGAAGGCCTGACCTCTTAAGCCCTTACCCAGTCTTCCAGCCCTCCTGCTGCCCCCCTAGCCTGGATGAGCACCTCTCTCTGATTCACTGTCCAGCCTTCTATCTCCGGGCAGGAAGGTCACTAGATGGAGAGGGGAGTTCGTGTGTGTAGAATATGCTGCTGGCTACTCTAGAATGTGTGCTTGTGTGCACTGGCCACTGGGAGAATGAGCCTCAGAGTGACACAGATGACCACCGGGTATCATAGGAGTGGGGATTCTGCAGGGAGCACTGATGTTTTCTTTCTCGGAGCTCCGAGCCTGCAGTCCAGGTGAGGACTCCGCCAGGAGGAAAAGTGTGGGGTGCCCTGGCCTGGCCTTGTGTGTCTCCGAGCAGACCCCAAGATAAGATTCTGTGCAGAATTGCATGCAGGAACTAAGCAAACAGCCCAGAGAGGCCAGCGGAGCGCGCCTGTTCCCCAGAGTCAGAGCCCCAGTGCTAGTCTGTGCTCTGCTGGCAAGTTTCTCCAGTTTTCTTGTCCTCTTTTCCACTTGCCCTGTCCTCTGCTAACTCCCTGGACAATGGCTGTTGCTTTCTTCTGCAGAGTGGTTTTCTCTTTAAACTGGGGGTGGAGGCACTGGTAAGGTGGGAGGTGCATCTGTTAGTTCCTCAGTCCCAGTATGTCACAGAGCACGCAACCTCTTTGTGCATATTGCCCAGGGAAGGGCTGCCAGTGATCTTGCCAGTTAAAGTTTTCCAGATCGCTGGGTAGCCGGGGGCCACTGGGTAGGGGGTGAGGGGGGGGGGTCCAGCTGAGACCTGCCAAACCTCAGGGGGGCTTTGCCCTCAGGGTTTTGTTTTTTGTTTTTGTTTTTTTTTAAATCCACAGTTGTTACATTTTGCATATTAGAACCTTTTAGAAATGCACAGCACATTCTCATTTCAAACTTAAAAGAGGTTCTATTTCCGTTGGAATTGGCAGGGGCCCAGGAACCAGTGTTTGACAGGCAGGCTGGGCATTTCTGATGTATGTTTTCATGTTGACACTTTCTGTGCTAATCTATGAAGACAATAGATGGTGACAGCTCTCTCAGAAAGTAAAGAAAGGAGTAAGCTGAATGGAGCACCCCTTGGTTTGGGAGACTGGCAAATAATAGGCAGGTAGCCTTCACTTTTGGGGAAGTTTAAGCTCTGCCACGTTGTTCCTATGAAATTCATGAAATAGCCAGAAAACAGAAGAAGATTTCTGCTTTTCTGTCACTAAAGGGGAAAAGCACAAATCGGGTTCGGCTTTTATTTTGCAACCGCTGTTCTGGGGGACACAGCCCCCACAACCAGCACAGGGCACCTCTCAGTCCTGTAACTAGTCTATACAAGCTGTGTGTTTGTCACAGCCTTCTGCATGCGCTATAGGTTAGTGTTAATTTAGGTTTCGTGTTCTTCGGTATGAGTTACCAGCTCATTGTGGGGGTCTGGGAATGCTCAAAAAATACTCCATACAGATGAGTGGCAGCTGCGCCTTGCCTTATGCCATTGGGTTAGGACAGGATTCATAGGAACGTTATGGTTTTGGATAGCGGGGGAGACCTGCGAATGTGAAATAATGATAAAACCCAAACATAATACAGGGCCAGCCGGTGGGTCCCATGGGAATAATTCAACTGCATGAAATGGAAGATCCAACCACAGTGGTTAAGCCAATCGTTTCTTTTTCTCACGGTAGACAAATTTAGAGGTACGTCGTGCTGGAGTTGGTTCCATAGTTTAAGAGCATTAGGACGAGGTCTCTGAACTCTCATGCCCTTTCCTTATGCTTGTAAGATTCTTCCTACAACCTGAGCCATCGCACACTGGGTCAGGCGAGGGGGGCTCATACACCTGTTTGACTGCCCAGGACACCCCCACCTCCCTCTTCCACAGGTGATGCTTAATTATGTCACCTTGGCAGATCCCGGTCACATGGCTGTTCCTGTCTGCAAGGCTGGGAGGTGGGGGGCGGGGCGTGTCATGATCCACTCGCAGGGCTCACCTGGGGCCATTCCCCGCACACTCAGGCTTCTGCTGCTTGGGAGGCATGAAGGCACCTGAGTGGATGGCCAGCAGCCTCGCCGAGAGTGTGTTATCAGAGATCTTTGGGCAGAGGAGAAAGACCATGAGCTTTAGCGTTAGACCAATGTCATTTGTGAATCTTCTATTTATCCGTGTACTTTCTATCTTAGGCTAATGATGTAGAATTTCTAAATTGCAAGATTTAGAACAAACAGGCGAGTGTTTGGCAAAAGGGCAGTGCAGAATAACATCAGCTTGCTCAAAGATGCTTGTATGAAAGCATTAGGGGAGATGACCTTTCAAGTGTTCTGGTGCTGCCTCCTGCAACATGCCTGCAGGTGCTAACCCAGCAAAGCTCTGCTGATGATGACTGGCATGACCTGTTGTGAAACAGACCACACGGCAGGGAACAGCATGGATGAGCGTGAGTGAAGAGCAAGTTTGAGCAGCCTTTCCAAGGAAGGTTCTGTGCAACCCTTGGTCGGTGGGGTGTTAGCTGTTAGTATCTCGCATTCTTTCAACAATGGCTGGTGGCCAACAGAAAAGATGCTTTGGGAAGTCTTGGGCACTAGGTTTGGGAACGGTTGAGGTCAGCAAAGGTGGCCGCTTGCCGGCAGAACTTCTCAGAGCCTTTCTGTGCGCCACCCTGCATTGGGACTCCCGGCGAGTGGCCGTGTTTCCTTCTCCCGGGCACATCTCTTGGGATTGATGTTCCATAGAATGCACCAGGTAAATAGCTGGCAGAGCAGCGTGGGGGGTGTGGTGGTCCAGAGCTGGAATCCCAAAAGAATGAAGGGTGGGAAGGGTTTCTACTGCAGCAGGTGGGGAGAGCTCACACCGGCGAACAGGTCACCTGGTGAAAGCGTTTCCATGCCTTCCTGGGGCAGCTAGACATTGGTTTGCCCTAAACGGAGAGAACCCGTAAGAATGTCTTAGTTAACAGATCTGGGTCACTCGCTCCAGGACCTGACTTGGGACAGGCCTGTTGGGGACAGACCAACCAAGTTTCATTCCTCTGGTGGAGGAGATAGGAGTCTTCAGAGGCTGTGGAGTGAGTTCAGAGCCGTTTAAAGGTTCTGTCTGAAGGCGGCCTGCAGCGGGGCCCAGCAGACTTTTTCTGCAAAGGGGCAGATAGTAAGTAGTTTAAGCTTTGTGGGACGTACGGTTTCCATTGTGACCACTTGGCCTGCTGCGGCATGTGGCCATCATGGGCTGTTCATTTCCCAGCAACTTTATTATGGATCCTGAGATGTGAAATTGATATTATTTTCACACGTTGTAAAATACTTTCTCTTTGATATTTTTAAATGTGAAAGCTATTTTTAGATTTCAGGCCTTAAAAAAACAGGAGGTGGGTCAGATTTGACCTGTGGGCTGTAGCTTGCTGCACTCTAAGGTGGCTGGAGTGGGGAAGACCTTGGAGGCCCAGAGACCATTTGAAAGGTGAGCGAGTGACATCAGGACTGGTGGTGGCAGGTGTTCAGAGCTGGGCTCGGTTTCAGCTGAATCACAAGGGAAGGGAAATGACAAGGAGTAGCTAAGGCCAAAATCTCCTTACTAGCAAAGGCATCAGTGCTCTGTACCTATCGGTGATTGGGTCTTCCTCTCTTCAGCTTCAGTTCAGGATTGCTGTGTAGCAAACAGTGCTTAGAGTTTATATTTGGGAAACCTTAGGCTTCAGACTTTAGACTTCCATGTGAGTTGGGGTTGGCTGGGCTTCTGGTCTTGCCCAGGCTCAGTCACGTGGCCACATGCTGCCTGCAGATGGGCTGGTGGACGACAGTCAGGTCTCTTTCCATGGGATCTCACCGGCGGGCTACCTTGGGCTTCTTCCAAGG